AATGGCTATGAATGTTTTACCAAAAATAATTTTAAAAGACAAATAATAAATGAGTTTATTAAACAATTTTATTGTTTTGATTCGTTTTGATTGGTCTTCTTTTGTTCATAAGCCAAAATAGACGTTTGTACATTTGTTGTTAGCAATTTGCTTTTATCGATGACTTCTCTTAGTGATCTATCACATTGCTTGACCAATTCAAATATTTCTGAAAAGTTTCTATCAAGCTCTTTCATCTAAATGTTAGGGCTAAATAAAATAAAACTTAATTTATTCAAAATAGAACCCTTTTAATTTTCCTTTGAGAGACGTTGATTTTCTTTGAGGAAGTAGATTTTTTATGGTTGACCAACTATGCCTTACAAAATTAGGAAATCCTAATATCACGTCTTTATTTTTTCTTAACCAATTTTTCGTGTTTGGATCTGATGGATATCCACTTCCTATGTTTTTTCCTACAAAAAATTCATCTCTTTTTACTTTTGCTAATATACTAGCTGCAGATACACAATTATACAAACTATCTGCTTTATTTTCGATTGTAAAATTGTAATCAAAAAATTTTTTAAGATATGTTTTATACTTTACGTTATCTCCCAACCCATCTATGTAGACCATCTTAACATTTTTACATTTCTTTTTAACTTCCTGTAAAATTTCAACAACCGCTTCTCTTGATATCTCATTTAAGTTTTTTACGTTTCGTTCCATATTACTTGTTATATAAACAGGTGAAATACTTTTATAAACAGCAAAATTATTTTTCAAACATTTTTCAGCTAACTTGGTTCTTTGAACAGGTGTACATGCTTTAGAATCATAGTACTTTGTCTTGTCATCTGGATCATAGATACATGCAGCATAAACCATAGGACCTATAACTGGTCCTCTTCCAGCTTCATCAATCCCCACAACAACCTCTTTAGTAATTTCGTCTTCTATTGTGCTTATAAACTGATTTTCAAACATAATTTAAAAGGATTTAATTTTTTTAACTTTAAGTGGGATTTGAACCTTTGTTTCTAAGTTATAAATACAACAATCTTAAAATAATTCAAGTAAGTAAATTCTGATCTTAAAATTTGAAAAAGATATACTTAATTTTATTTACAATGTAAAGTTTATACCTTTAAACATTAAATTTAAGTATATAAAATATTATTTTCTAATACTTTTAATAAGTAATAAACTATAATATTTTATTAACCAAGCAAAAATAAACAATGAATATATTTAATTAATATTAAGAATATCTTTTGATAATTTTTAAGTAATTTACTATAATTTATTGTTTTCAAAAATTTTAATAAATAATTTGATTTTAAATAACATTTTGTTGTTATATTTTTGATTCTTTAATAATCAAATATACTTAATTTAAAATTCCCCAAAAACAATTTTATTTTATTATAACTGTAATAATAAAAACTTACTTTTTTATTAAAACTAAAAATTAATGTTTATAACTCCTTTTTTAACACAATTAATATTAAATTTTATAATTTTATAGATATTTAGTTAATAAAACTGATTAAAAGTATAATTAAACTAAAATTTAATAAAATAACAAAGATGGCAGTATTAATTAAATAATTTATTATATAACAATCTTAGATATTTTATGATTTTGATACTCAATAATTAATTGTTAATAAATCAAAAATGTTTATTAAAAAACTTATACAAAGTTATTAATCTATAATAAGATGTAATATAAACTCTAAATAAAAATCATTAATTAAATTTTATTATAAAAATAACGATATTTATTTGTTTTTGAAGCGTAATGAATTAATTTATAATTAAAGAAATGTTTATAAAATTAAAAATTAAAGTAATAAATAATTTCTTAAAATCTTATTCAATCAGTTTTAAAGGTATATTTTTAAATAACTTAAAAAAATTAAAAAAATTGTGATGATAAAAATTA